AGGTCCCAGGGGAGGACCTCATGGGAATGTTCGTTAGTTTCCCGGGGGTGCCCTGTCAGGGTCCTGGTCTCTGCTCTCAGGCAGGGGGTCACTGGTCATCGCATCTGGTCCTGAGGCGGCCATGGGGTCACTTCACCTGGTTCTGCTGCTTTTCTGGGCCTGGAGCTAAAACGCAGCTGAGGCCTAGATGTTACCTCCAGCTAGACCCAAAATGACTCTCTTAGCTGACGTAAGGCTTTTTTTGTTAAAGATTTTATTTATATATTTTTAGAAAGAGGAGAAGGGAGGGAGAAAGAGAAGGAAAGAAACCTTGATGCAAGAGAGAAGCATCGATCAGTTGCCTCCTGTGCACACCCCGACCGAGGACCAAACCCACAACCCAGGCATGTGCGCCCCGACTGGCGACCCTTCCATTTGCGGGACAAACCCACCCACCTGAGCCACGCTGGTCATGATGCCGGTCAGAACCGCACTGCTCTGAGGGCTTCATGCGAGGGCTTGAATGGGAGTCCTGTGGGGCTACTCCCTGGCCCATGTTTCTCCTCTAAGGGGGTCTTTGTGGAGAGCAGCACCAATAACATGGCACTGGTCTCGTCAAGAGAGCATAAAGTATGTAAAACAAAGTGGAGTCACTCGTGTCAACCAAGATGGCGGCCAGGCAGCCATGACACTTTGGTTCAAGAGGGAAACTACGTAAGCCAGAGCAGACACACCTGGCAAGTTGACACACCTAAGTTACCTGCACGTGTGCCCAGAACAGCAGTGTCTGCAGAGCAGGACCACCCTCAGATAGGCTCCTGGGGAAATTTCCCACCTGCCAGCAGGGGTGTGAAGACACTTATCAAGAGACCCAGAAGGGTGGAGTGCACCACTCTCAAGGGTGTAACTGAGGCAGGCTCCAGACCACTGCTGAGACAGCCGAGCTCCACACACCAGAGTGCTGCTCCACACCACACTGATCTCCCTTGACATCGGCTGCCAGAGGCTCTGCCCTGCTGGACTGAGGACTTTGTCTGCCCTGCTGCCCACCTGGCTCTAGAGACCCTTCCTCGCAGGACGCTGACAACTCCCCTGCCCACCGTGCTGTCTCCCAGACCCGCAGACACTGAGACTCTGGGGCTCAGGTTCGTTGTCCCCCAATTCTCTCACGCGATATTAGTACTGACTGTTTCTGAGTGATTCCTGTTGCTATTAGGTTAGTATGAATTTGGAGTGAATCTGCATTCACAAAAGCCAAGGGAATGGCAGAGTCACCTGTGTTGGCTCCCGGCTATCTCTCAGTGCCCGTGTCACCTGTGGGACTGGTGGCCGCACAGACAGCTCGCCACTTTCAGTTCGTAAGGCCCGGATCAGACGCCCGAGCAGGGACCGAAGGCTGAGTTACGAGGTCTGTCCGGAAAAAGTCCAGCCACTGTTAGTATAACGAGAACGGTTGGTGCAAAACCTGGCAGCCAAGGAGAGTGGGCTGGAATGCACATGCGTGAACAATGACGACTTCACTCTACTAGTCAGTGGGAGTGGTAGACACCATTGAGTGAGCACGTGCACTGTGTGGCCATTGCATTCAAAATGACTGAGCAAACAGAGCAATGAATCTGCATCAAATTTTGCATTAAGCTTGATCATTCTTCCATGGAAATTATTTAGATGATTCAGAAGGCCGCAGCTATGGGCAGCTGGTGATTGGCAGCTTCAGGATGACAATGCACCCATTCATGCACCATGTCCCGAGCAGAGTTTTTTGGTGAAACATCAAATCACCCAGGGGACTCAGTCGCCCTACAGCCCAGATTTGGTGCCCTGTGACTTCTGGCTTTTCCCAAAACTAAATTCACCTTTGAAAGGGAAGAGATTTCAGACCGTTGATGAGATTCAGGAAAATACAACAGGGCAGCTGATGACGACTGGGAGAACTGTGTGAGGCCCCAAGGTGCCTACTTGGAAGGGGACTGAGGCTCCATTGTCCTGTGTACAGTGTTTCCTGTATCTATCTTCTTCGACAAATGCCTCTATTTTTCACATTACATGTCTGGACACTGTCTGGACAGACCTTGCTCAGGAAAGACTGTGCAGCAAACACAACCTCAAGGCCGTCTACCACGTGACTAGAGCCCTGCCAGGGGAGCAGAGGTCAGGGGAGAGTCCAAACCACATGACCAGCGATACAAAGGGTCTGGTGGGGGGGGTCTAACCGTAGAGCCAGCAATATGCTGGGGAAGGAAAGGTCACCCCGGGGGCGGCCGAGATCCTTGTTTTGCCAGTTTTGCCAGTTTTGCCCATGGCTCGGTCCCCCCCCGCCCACCTCGGGCTGTCCGCCCCAGTGACCTTCCGAACCTGGCCCATCATCCCCTCTGCTCGTGTCCGCCTCACTGCCTGCCACCAATACTGCCATTGTCACACCCTTAGTGCGGGTTCACGGGCGACGGTGGCCACCACGCCCCGTGCTGTCCGCACTGGTGCACAGTGAGGACTCGATGCAAGTGCAGGGAATGCTCACTCTCTCCACCCGCACGCGCTTCACGCTCCGATCTATCGCTCTCCTGTGCATCTGCCCTTCTCCCCTTTCCCCCAGTCCTGCGCCCGTGCAAAGACGCCAAAGCAGCTTTTGGTGAATATACAGACACACACCGTGGGGTTTACGTGAACCCCCCGTCGGCCCTAAGCGCCTAATTGCTATGAAATATTAACTGCAGAGCACGTGGCTTTCTCATTTCTAAAGAGTTCCACTTTCAGCCGATGAGCCGGGACCTGGGGAAGGTGGGAAGATAAGGGGGGACACACAGCAGGGAATCTGGTTGGGGGTGTGTCGGGGGCAGTGGGAAAGGGAATCCGGGAAACCTATTCTTTGAGAGAGAAGGGAAGACGGGCTGAAAATAGAGGTGTTTTGAGGAGGAGACTACAGGTGTGTAGCGAGTGGCCTTTACTCTCTGCATAGCAGGAGGTGAAGTGTACAGAGCAAGCCAGGGCTTTGACAGCCGCCATGCGGGCTGGAAAACACGCTCACCACAGGAGGGCACTAGTGAGTCGGCTCAGGCAGGAGTCACCAGCTCCGTTCAGTCTTGAGTCACAATGTGTCCCCTCTGAGAGTCCTGGCTCTGCTCTCTGCCTTTCCCATGCAGACCGTGGGGCATTTTGGAAGGCAGAAGATATATACATACCCTCACACACACATTATGTACCTCTGGGCGGTGAGAACACAAAGGGGCTACTATCTCCGTGTCACTCTATGTTCCGGACTCTTCGCCTTCCCACTTGACATCTCAGCCTGCAGCTGTTCCTCAAGTAGCAGCTGTTTTGCCATCATGGCAACTTTCTCTTGGGAATAGACAAATAACAAAAAATTAGTAATTCTTCCCCTTACTTTACGTGATCTTTAATTTTATGTGTCAATTGGCTGGGCTACAGTGCCAAGATATTTGGTCAACCATTATCCTAGACGTTTCTGCAAAGGTGCTTTTCGGATGAGATTAACACATAAATTGGAGGGCTGGGGGTGAAGCAGACGGTGGGTGGGCCGCGCTGAATCAGTTGAAGGCCTGGCTAGGAAAAGGCCAACCTCGCCCACCCACGCCGGAAGGAACCCAGGCAGCAAGCTGGCTTTGGACTCGAACTGCAGCTCGTCTCTGGGTCTCCAGCCTGCTGCTCTGCACTGAAGATTCTGGACTCACTAAGCCTCCACAATTTCGTAGCCAATTAATTCCTTAAAATAGATCTGTAAGTGATAGATAGATAGACAGATAGAGAGATAGATTGATGGATAGATAGATTTAAAGATAGATTGAAAGGATTAAAGCAACAGAGATGGAGATAGAGACATCTTGTTGGTGTTATTTCTCAGGGCAGCCTTGGCTAATACACTGCAGAAAGGGTACTTTCACACCAGCTGTCTGGTCGGTAGATTTTGGAAGTCGTTTCTGTGAATCAGCTTATACAGCCTTTTCAAACTTCTTTTCCTTGGGAAGGCACATACATGTTTGTCATACTTTCTTCATTTCTCCTCACCGGTTGTCACTTCCAACACCTAACCCTGCAGAGCCCACTGAGTTTTCATGGTATCTAGTATATCCATGTAGATCTTGAAAGGGTTACACAAAGTGTGTTAAAGCATTTATTGGTAACACTTTAAAAAATAATTAATGACCAGGAGCTTATTCATTCCCTAACTTTCCCACTGTTTAAAAAAAAAGTAACTTTTATGCAAAGAATGCAAGGTTTTAACACATCAGTTGAGAAAAAATATTCCTAAAGTGGATTTGAAATTCAGCATTAAATCTCTTGAGAGTGATGAGGATTTGTCGAAATAAAGATGATTAATAAAAGCCCTGGCTGGTGTAGCTCAGTGGACTGAGTGCTGGCCTGTGAATCAAAGGGTCGCCAGTTTGATTCCCAGTCAGGGCACATGCCTGGGTTGTGGGCCATGCCCCCAGTAGGGGGCACACAAGAGGCAACCACACATTGATGTTTCTTTCCCTCTCTTTCTCCCTCCTTTCCCCCTCTCTAAAAATAGATAAAATCTCTCTTTAAAAAGATGACTAATAATGCATCATCGAGAGCTGCTAGGGCTGATGTAATCTGCAACTCACACACACGTTTCCTAAAACAGGCGGCTTTTCAAACCCATGCTCTAATGCCGGTACTTTTCTCACCCTGCGGAGCTCCCAGGGGGGCGGGGCTGTTCCTTGACGCAGCTCAGGGACAGATCGATACTTTCAAGCAAACCAACCCTTGTCCGCGTGTTTAGGACGAGACACGAACGGTGGTCTCGTCCCCTCTAGTTCGGTAGCTGCGTCAGGTCGTCAGCGCCAACACAGCCGCCCCAGATGTGGAAACAGCGAAGGGCTTTGTGCTTGCCGGGAACCGTCTGCACTCGGCTCCGCACGCCCCTCCCCCTCACATCCCCCCTTGGTTTGTGGGGAACCGGTCGGGCACTGTAACTGGCTTTAGGCTTCGCCCGAAATTCTAAGAAACAGGAAACATCCCATTTTTCATCATGTCTACTTTATTTTTTTAATTTTTTTTCTTGGTGTCACATTCATTAGCCCTTTATGACCTCCATGCACATAAACACTGACCCGTGGATCTGAAGTCTAAAGGAACGGAGGAAGGGTGACAGGGTAGAAGAGTGACTCTTCTCTCTTTATGCTTTTGATACGAGGTGACAGACCTGGATGGACGTTATAACCATCAGTACTGTCAAGCAGTTTGTGGGAAAAAGAGGGCTATCTGGGTGATTTTGAGTTTAAGGGGGGGCGGTGATCATTAATCGCTCCTTCTCTTCAGAGTTCAGAACTAATTCAGACCTAGACTCAGGTGCATGGAGGCCAGAACATCAGCCTCACAATCCAGAAAAGCTGGGTTGGAGAATGCGGCTTATCCTGTAGGTTTCCCACGACTTCCCCCCACTACCGGCTCAGCAAGGCAATAAACCCACCTTTGGAACCCCACCGTTGGCAGGCAGGGGCCGTGAACGCACGCTTATTACAGGCAGGCCGACCCCAGAGAGAGGACCACGCGGCCTCCTTTGAAGGGGTCTATGCACAGTCAGAGAAGCTCAGACAAACGGAGATCAGATTTCCCTGCCTTCCAACTCGGAGTGGACAAAGAGAAGAGAGATGCTGACACCCTTCCTTGCATCTTTTTCCTCCCTTCCTCCTTTCAGTGGAGGTGGAATGGGGGGGTACGAAAATGCCCCTTCAAGAGAAAGAACTGAAGCTATGAACACACAGAGAGAAGAGAGAAGGTCCCCCAGGAGTGGGAGCACCAGCAGCATCGCGGCTTCCGCTTGCTAGGAGGGCTGGCTTTAAAATCAAGAGCTGTGGTGGTGGAAGCCGGGCAGGCAGTCAAAACGCAGCCGGCGCCAGGCCGGGAGGGTCTTTGCTCTAAGCCAGGGAACATGCATGCTGTTTGGTCGCACGCTGGAGGGCGGTCCCAGTTGTTGAGTGGGGAAAGAACATGATTACGGCAGTGCTTTAGGAACATGAGGTGGGCAGCGGGGCTCGGAATACATTATCCAGGGAGCGTTTGGAAGCAGGCGATCAGGCACAGGCTCCTGTTTGAAGCAGAGGAACGTTCACGAGTGTCACCGCAGCAGTGGGCCTGGGAGGCGGGTGGCGCTGGCCTGGTGCTGTGGGGTTCACGCCGTTCCTGCCCCACTCGCTCATTACGTCACTCGGCACGGCTGTTGTGGGAAGCGTGTGGCTCAGCGATACACACACTGTGAGGCAGTTTGCGTCCATAAATGTTTGCCAAACTAGCACAGGGAAGACTCTGGAGAACTTGGTGACTGTGCTCAGGCAGGAAGGCCAAGCGGGCAGCCAGAGATGATGCGTCGTCACCTTCCAGATCTGGAATCATCCGCTCACTCATCAAACACCCACGGAGCCCCTGCTGGAGTCCCGGGACCTGCCCCCCGTGCCAGGCGGCAGCAAAGCAGGCGGCAAAGACCGTAGGGAGCTTCCACACTCAGGGCACCTACTCGCTCTACCTCGATAGATATGTAAAGAAAGGAGAATAAAATATCGAGGGGGGAAGGAAAAAGTTGGGGTAAGAGAGCAGAAGGTCAGGGAGGCGCTGGTTTAGAAAGCGCCCTCAGTGAAGCCCCCCTCTGGAAGTGACTTCCAGGCAGAAATGGGGAGGGAGGGAGGGAGGGACCCTCACCGAGTTCTGGGAGGGTGTTGGGGCAGAAGGAACAGTACGGGGAGTGGGCACCTGTCGGGTGTGTTCAGGAGGCAGCAGGGAGGCCTGGGCGGGCGCGGCAGGGTCCCCAGGTGTGGCGGTGGGGTGGGAATGAGTCCAGAGGGCCAGCCCAAGGCCACATCCCGAAGGGGCTCATGGCCTGGCTGGGGACCTCTGGCCATCGTGCAGAGGGGAAAGGGTGGACATCCGGGGACCACAGAGAAGCCACCATACGGGTCCAGGCAAGAGATGACGGTGACTCAGACTCGTGACTTCGTTAGAGAAGAAGAAAATCGGCCAGATTCCCAGTATCTGGTAAGATAAAGAGTGCAGGGTATTTTATCGTATTTGACGTGGAGTGGAAGAAAAAGAGAGAAGTTAAGGGTGTGCCCAAGGTTTTGGCTCTGAGCACAAGGGCAAACCGCTGTGTCCTTCCTGAGAAGGGAAACGGGGGCCACGGGCCAAGAGCTTTGAGGGGACAGCGGACAACGGGAATCGGAGAGACAGGACAGAAAGCCCGAGCAGAGGGTCAGGTGAAGGTTGGAGACAAAAGACAGAGGCCAGACGTGAAAATAGGACAGGCCCGGGAATGAAGGCCTGGAAGTCCACCTTCCCTGCTTTCTCTCTCCAACCCCGTCTCTGATAAACCTTCTGATGGCTCCAGCCGGAGATGTTGCAGGGGATTCTGGAGTCAGGGAGGAAATTCCGGTTAGAGATAAAAATCTGACGTGGTGTTACCATCAGCAAAAGCAGAGAAGACAGGAGGGAGAAGGTGGTTCTTGGACTTACCCAGTCTTTATGGAGAACCTACTACATGTGGAACATTTTCTAGGACCTGGAGATACAGAGACCCAAGACATGGTCCTTCCCTGCAAAGGGCTCACAGTGCAATCGAAATACAAGCAAGGAAACAACCCAGTCCACTGCAGTGTGGTGAGTTCTAGAGCAGGAGTTTCAGGGTGGGGCAGGCGGGAGGAGGGGACACAAGGCGACACAGAAAGGCACCACCTCTAGGAGTTCAAAAAAGTCTTCCTACAGTAGGTGGTATCTGAGGGAGGTTTTGAGTGTTAAAAAAAAAGGGTTGTCAGGCAGAAAGAAAGAAACCCAGGCCCAGGGAGAGGGGAGTCTCTGGTGGAGGGAACGCAGTGAGGAGCACAGAGGCACAGGAGAGCGTGACGTGGTCACGCAGCAGCATGAGGCAGGCGTGACTGGGACGGAGCGCGCTGGTGGGTGGCGGCAGGGAGAGAGCAGCCAGGCCCCGTAGGCCATCCGAAGGGGTTTGCTGGGCGGGAAGCGGACAGGTTCCGTTTCAGAAACGCTGAGCTTGAAATACAACGGGCGCGTGTCTAGAGGATAACAGAACACGAAAGATCAGAACTCCAGGGAGGGTCCAGGCCAGAGCTGTACCCTTATTCCTGTGTGTGTCTGTAGCATTTCAGAGTCTCCCTCATGGAGATCCCTGCTGGTGTCACAGACGTGAATCAAACGTCTAAGGAATAAGGAATGTGGAGGAAAGAGGAGCAGGAAAGGGGCAGGCGTGGGGGCGATGTGCACAGTTCGCGGGCTGGGGGAGAAGGAGTGAAGACAGAGACCAGGGCAGGAGCAAGCGGGCAGGGATGTGTATGAGCCGGAACCGGGTGCTGTCACGGAAGCCAAGGAAAGGGAAGATTCACAAAGAAACCCGCTGCAGGCAACGTCAAACACAGGTCAAGGTTAAAGAAGGTAAAAAAATGGAGGGCAGGTCATCAAATGTGGTGGCCAAATGGTCCCCTGGTGACCGTTTTAGGACAATTTAGGGGAAGGCAGCGAGGGGCACCTCAGCAGCAAGGAGTCCGAGTGCTTGGGATCGCGGAGAGAAAGCAGAGAAGGTGGGCCTCCAGCCTTCATTCCTGAGCCTGTCCCATTTTCGTGTCTGGCATCTGTCTCTTGTGTATCCAACCTCCACTGGACCCTCTTCTCCTGGCTTTTTGTCCTGTCTCTCTGATTCCCATGGTCTACGGTCCCCCCCCATGACGGCATCTCTGCCAACCGGCGAACTCTGAGCTGGACTGTGAATTCCATCAGACCGGGAAGCAGGTCAAAGGCTACCTTGAAGATGTGTGTGCTGTCATAGATCCTATCTAGTGAACACAACCTCTTGAAGAACACCTTCACCGTGGAAGGGTCCCCACCCACCTGTGCACAGTGGTTACCCCTGCGTCCTGGCCAGTAGGAGGTTGCGAATGCTTGTTGATTTTTACCAATGACAACATTTTATTGTTTTATGCGAATGGTGTTGTTGTTGTTTTGCAACAAAAAAATGTGTTGGTTTTCAAATTTTAAATATTTTGGTTAAAAAAATGACACGCTCTCCATTTCCATTCTTCCAACCCGCAGACGTGCCATTTGGCTAAGACCACCTATACTCCTTCTTTCCCTTGTTTTCTTCCCATCAGTCTTTGGCAGCCAGAGTTAACTCAATGGAAACGCTGGCAGACTCTCAAGTTAGATGTCTGTTCTCTTTAGTGTCGTGGCCGCATCTAAATAATTGTTCTCCTATATTAATTGATATCTAGCTTTTATCATTATTGGATCTTTGCATACCCAAGGACCACTTATGCAAATTAAAACAATGACTCCACTCAATAAACTGGGAACAGGAACCGCAGTCACCAGGAAAGTACGTGCAGCCCATCAAAGACCCGTTTTCATCATCTGCTTTTCAGAGACCAGCAGCTGAAACAAGCGGAATCCGGAAGGGAGGAATGGGCCACTTATTCCAATCCCCGCTATTTATAACAGTTATAAACAGCAGGACTATAAAACAAATTAAGTACTTTTCCCCCTGAGCCAATCCATTACCAGGCCATGACAACTTTACCTCCCACTGCTTGCATCGCTCCCTTCTGTCACGGGCTCATTCAGGCCCTGTCTGTCTCTCCGGGGCCACATCAACAGCCTCCCAAGTCTATCTGTCTTCGTGTCAAATACGTCTTCCACATCAGTCACTGGGATGAGCTAATACAAAAACCAAGCCACTGTCTTATTTAAAATCCTGTTGTGACCCTAAAGCCACTGAGAAACGTGGAAGCTCTTTGTCACAGCATGAAGGACCCGTGGTCTCCTGGCTCCTCCCACCGGCGTGCCTCCTGAACCCAGGCTCACGGTCACACTCCAGTTTGGGACCATGGCGTGGAGCTCAGATCACTGCCAGACTCAACTCTCCGCTTTGGGAAAGCTTCATCTCCTCTTCTGTCCCCGCACCCCGATCAGGGCCACCCCAGTCCACGGTGGCAGGGTTCCTTCACATTACCTCTTGGTGGAGACGGTTGGTGCCTGACTGCCTTCCCTCTCAGATGGCCTTTAGGATCTTTGTGAAAATATATTCATGTCCTCCCCCAAACCACAGCACACTGAGAAGTCTTTGCTAAATTGCAGGATTAAGGAAGAAAAGCTACTTGTACACCATGTTCCAAAGTCAAGACATACTTAAATTCTTATATTCACATGAAGGGTGATGCTCCAATATGATTTCCTGCGTTCACCTCGACATAAAAATTTCTACCCTGCCAGGCACCCTACTGCACACGTATAATTGGGTTTGTATAAAACTCTACTCACTACAGATATAAACACACACATGCAACTTAAATCGCCATCTCTCTGCTGAGAAGGTTACTTTACTTTTCTGATGACATCCCTTGATGATATTACTGCTGTTTTACAGGCGGTCTAACAGACCGTCCCCTCAGGTCAGTAGCACTGAGATCGGGTCCTGTCTGACTCTCACTGGAACCCAAAGAAACGCACCTTGTCAATCACCGTTTATTCCTTTCTTCTGCACCGGACTCCTAAAAAGAAGAACAAAAGGAACTAATAATCACGGACGTCCCGGAAAGCACTTTCAGGAACCGTTGAGAGAGCGGCAGAATCCACTGACCTCGGTCACACGAACGCACCACAAGATGCAGCATCTGCAGCACTTAGGGTCCGCCAACCCGCCAGAAGGCAAGGTGTTCGCGCTGGGCCCCGCCCAGCCCTTCCACCCTGCGCGACCCACTCTTGGAAGATCTTACTCAGGTGTCTGGAAAACGGTGACTTCAGGGACAGGCGTTTCCACTGCGGACCGGAGGAGACAAGACTCTAGACAAATGCAGAGCCCTTTGCAGCACGGAACTGTCGGTGGGGCCACGGACGGAGTCAGCCACCCCGCCCGGCCTCCAGCAGCCTGCAAAATCCTCCCCCAGCCTTGCTGGACACTCGCCAGTAGTACTTTTTGAAGTTAGAAGTATCTTTTCTAAATATTTAGGAGAAGCCCTCTTCTCTATTAGCGCTTTTGCTTGTATGGCAGGATACTGTTCAGATCTTATGTCGTGTCTTGTTTCTCCTTCCTGTCCCTCCATCCTGCCCCCATTGGGGCACAGAGGCACCTGTGTGTCCAGGGCCCTGGGGAGCAGATGTGAAGGTAGAACAGGGCAGCTGTCTGTCTACTGCTCACTGCCCCACCCCCACCCCCGCCCCACGCTAGCGGGGAAAGGGCCCCTGGGTCCTGAGAATGAGAGGACCCAGCTCTCACTCCCCGCAGAGAGAAGACTCGTGCTGGGAACGGCCGTGTGGCTGGGACCCAGCATAGACAGCCTGGCCTTGATCCTGTGCTCGCAGAGGCCCAGGGGCACACGGCAGGGAAACAGCCAGCCCCGGCCGCTGTGAGCTGTGAACAAAGGCCAGAAAAGCTCCCACCCGCTCTTTGGCAGGGGACAGGGTCCAGGAGCTGTGACACACATCGGGGTGGGGTGGGGCGGGGCAGAGAGAGCGAGCCCTAGGAAGGAGGGAGGCTCTCCTGCCCTTCCCTTCCCCCCCCCCCCACAGCCTGCACCAAGGGGGGGTCTAAACTTTGTGCCACATTGGCTCACAGGCCATTTTAAAGTAGTGTGCACTGCACACTTCCTTCCATTTGGGGGAAGAAATTTACCTCCGATTCTTCCTCGGTGTACTTAGACACATTCAGACCCCAAGGGGAATCGTGGCTTGGTGCAGGTGCGGGGCGGGGGGGCGGCGGACAGAGCATCTCTGGACCTCGGAATCACATACATGTCACCAATATTCAAAAATCAAAAGGACCTGTCCCCCGCACAGGGCACCAGCGCTGGGGCCCAGCGGCAGGGCATGCGGTGGGGTCAGGAAATGGCAGAGCGGGGGCCGAGGCTCCGAGAACCTGCCAGGTCACAGCAGCTCGGCCGGCCTTTATGTCATTCCTGCGCCCAGGACGAAATTCCACAGAGGTCAGACAAACAGGCCGGGCTCCGGAGCAGCCAACGGAATTGCCTGGCACTTTGTCCTGAAGGGGGAAAAAACAGGAATCAGAACAGGAGTGGGTGGAAGGCAATGCCAGCTAAACTAGGAAGGGGTCCAGAGAGAATGCCCCTTCTCCCCTGTCCTGGAGATTCAGTAGCTCCCCGTGCTGGCTACCGAAGGAGGCGAGTGTCGAGGTGATCCCCGGCCTGGAGCCTAGCCAGCTTCATAAAGCAAAGTTGACCTTTGGAGCGGTGTGAACCGGCAGGTGATAAGCATTGGGATAAACAGAGTGCGTTTCCTACATCCAGGTGGCCTCACTGGGCTGTTCCGGACAAGAAACCGAAGGCCGCCTACCAATCCAGGCTTGTCTAGACAAACTGGTTCCCTACCTCACCCGCCTTTCACGCGCCGCCTTGCGACAGCAAACTCGCCGGGGGCTGGGGGCCGGGGGGCCGTGCGCTCCACCAGGGCCAGAACAGTGTGTCTTCACGCTCCAAGCTCACGTCTGACAGGGAGCAGAGATGGCTGGCTGGCTCTCTGGTGGGCGTGCTGACCGTCGCCCCATTACTGGTGAGCACCCCGAGTTTGCCGGAACTCGTGCGGCCTCGGGACAAGTGGGAGGGGCAGAGGACGGGTGGGGTCAGAGCAGAGTTCTGTGATTCCTTCGATCTGACCTGTGAGCCATGGATCTAATGAGATGTGCTAACGGCGCTCAGCCCCCGCTCCCCCACCCCCACCCCCACCCCAAGCACGAGGGCACCAGAGCACATATGACGCAATGAGCTCTGCGAGGCTGGGGACGTTCTCAGGGATCCTGGTGGGAGATAGTGATGTGAGCTGAGGGGTAATGGATAAAATCCCTTGGCTGAGGATTTAAAGCATTAAGTTAAAAAAAATCATTTTACAAAAGGCGTTAAGGAAATAGTGGTAGTTCAGAGTAGAGCTCTGAGCCCAGTAAGGAGTCAGAGGATTATTTGGGACACCAAAGCGGAGGCCCAGCTGGATGGGCTGATTAACGACGGTTGCGTCTTGGGGCACGTGGCAGCTGGTGACTCCCTGGGTGTGGAGGGACAGGCTCCCACCCCCTGGAAAGTTCTGGGGCCCTCCTATACTTTTTGGGGCCCCATTCTAACCTTCCTGCGTGTTCATCCTCCCCCTCCAAACCACTGCCACGTAACCACGCTCCAGTCTCTCTCCCGTTATAAGGAAATAAACCGGTCAACAAACAAACAAACAAACAAACAAACACACTCCCTTCCCCACAGCCAACGTCGGCTGTGCAAAGGTCCCCACTCACGTCCTTCTCTCTTGCGAGTACTCCCGGCTGGGTGTCTTTCTGCACGCGGGGGATGGCTGCCATGGTGTCGTGGCGTCAGTGTGGCTGCATCGAAAGCACTCGTCTCTGTGCGGGTCCTGCGTGCCCTCTGCGGCAGCCATCCTCACCGGCCACTCCGCTGCCTGGGCCTGAGTCCACGGTAACCCCCCCCCCCCCCGAGGGTTTCTTCCCACCTCCTGCCTCTCCTCGTGGCTGGCCCTCCTCCTCCTGTTCCCTGCCTCCTCCTCTCCTTCCTCTTCCTCTGGCCATTTCTTTCCAGAATGTCAGTGCTTCTTCTAGTTTTTTAGATGCTCTCCTCTCACGCTCTCCACCGGCTTGTGGGATGCCACCCATTCCCTTGGCCTCCGCATCCACATGCAAATGACTCCCAGATCTATGTCCGTCCGACCCCAGACTTCTGTCCAAATCTCCAGACCTACATACGGGTCCCATTTCCCAGACACCTCCTCTTGGCCGCCGACAGGCTGAAGTGTGCCACTTTGAGCCTGTCCCTTGAAGGGCCAAGATGCCGCAGAGTCAGACTTGTTGAAAATGGAAAGTGGACTTGGGAATGGCGTATCATTAGTAAATTTACAAACTGCAAAAATTGTTTCGGGAAAAAATTAGGCTTGAGTTTTTAAAAATGTAAACTGCAGCTGACAACAGCAAAGACGGCAAGTGGTCAAAAGTATTATTTCTTACAAATTGATGAAAAAAACAAAATTCGATACAAGTTTATACGTGCAAAGTAAGTTTGCCATGGCAAAAATAGTGGGCCTCCCAGAAAACTTAGCACGGAAGAAGCTGTGGTCTGTGAATGTTTGACAAAGAGGAAGAAAAGTAAGTGGACAAATGGAGCCTTCATTGTAAAATCTGCACTGAAGAGACTTTACCCTGATGAAAATAATGTTAGTAAAATAAAAATAAAGCAAAGCAGTTGGAAACAGTTTAAATATGTTGTACAGAAAATGGGTCAAGGAATTAAACTGCCCTAATGGAGTTCACCCCGGAGTAAATCTTTGCCACAAAACTCATCAGTCAGTGTTGGTATCATCCTTACGGTAATGGTTATATTCCAGAAAAAAACCCAGCAGGGCCGAAAATACAGGGTGGGCAAAAGTAGGCTTACAGTTGTGAGTACGTGAAACAGAGTTTATTCTTGTATTACTGTTTATTGTATGATTTTCCATACGAACAACTGTAAACCTACTTTTGCCCCACCCTGGATTCGAGAGCTCAAACCCATGGGGCCAGATGTCCTGCCCTGCCCTCGGGCACTTCACACCCCACGGTTTCCACCCTGGACCCCCGCTCCGTTCCCCACTGCACCCCACACCACTTCCCTGTCTTGTGCTTCCTCTTCCTGACGCCTCCCCCTTCCTGACCACCTCTCCCCCACCTCCGTATCTGAGCGTACCGTGCCTTTTCTGGCTCCTAAATATATTCTCACCATCCCATTCCCATTCCATCTCCTGCCACAGTGGGGGTTGGGGGGGGGTGGGCATCACCACATCTGGGCAACATCCTCTTAGCTGGCCCTACCGATTCCCACTCTCAGACCACTCCGCACGCTGTGGAGGAAAAGCAAACTGATCACACCTTCTGTATGGGTTCCCTGCGGCATTTCCGTGTCCAGCCTCAGACCCACGGCCACTGCTACATTGTGCCTCTGTCCGCAGCTTGACTTACCGCCCTCTCCCTGGCTGGAAGGCTTTGCGCATACTTCCACTTTGGACCCTCCCGCCTTCACCCTGACCCCTAGAACCTGTGCTGGTGGACACCTGCGTGTTCTTTGGGACTTATTCCCCAATGTTCTGTTTTCCTCCCTGTCTTTCCCACTAAATTACAAAGTTGTCAGGGCAGGACCATGCCTTACATTACGCACCATGATGTTCTCAGTACCCGGCACTGGGCCTCGTGGGGCAGAGGACCCCTCTGCGTTTTTGTTCAGCTGATGGATAGATCACGTTGGATCTGCACAACCACCCTTCATGGCAGGCACGACAACCTCTATCTAAAGAAGCTCTAAGAAGTGAAGTAACTTGCCCAAGTTCCCACACCAGGTAAGTTAGGATTTAATCCATAACAGTTTCACCACAAAGTGCATGTTTTTTCTACCCCACCATGCAGTGCCTTTTACCTGGATGCAACCCAAACACAGATGTGGAGATGCAATTTCTACAAATGTGGCATTGAGAGTTCATGGGGAAGAATACTGCATTAAAAGTAGTTATAACCAGCCCTGGCTGGCGTAGCTCAGTGGATTGAGTGCAGGCTTTGAACCAAAGTGTTGCAGGTTCGATTCCCAGTCAGGGCACAGGGCTGGGTTGCAGGCCATGACCCCCAGCAACCGCACATTGATGTTTCTCTCTCTCTTTCTCCCTCCCTTCCCTCTCTAAAAATAAATAAATAAAATCTTTTTAAAAAAGTAGTTATAACTGATCATGGTCCTGCAGCTGGAGAGGCACGGAGAACAGGCACACACGGAAGGGAGAGGGGCGGGCAGGGAGAGGGAGGTGAGGGAAGACCGTGTGGGGCCAGGGGTCGGGGCGGAGCAGGGACTAGAACTGGGGGTTAAAGCGTGAGTGAGAGCTTGGCTGGCAAAGCCGGGAAGCAAACGCTGGGCGGACGGAGGCGATGACTTTAAGTCTCCTGCACACCAGTCGCTGCATCAGAATCAGCTAAGAAATTAATATTCTCTCGGAGCGTCGTCGCGACGACAAAGCTGCTAGAGCCAATGTTTTGACTTTCAGGACACCGAAGTGATTAATTGTGTA